GTCTCCTGGTAGCGCCTCCATGCTCTGGACACTACGCTGACAGACACAGCAAACCTTCTTGCCACAGCTCGCATTGATGTGCTATCCTGGATGAGCTGCACTACCTGAGCCACTTGTGTGGGTTGCAGACTCCATCTCATGCTACCACTAGAGTGAAAGCACCGCCAGCATTCAAAAGTGACCAAAACATCAGCCAGGAAGCATAGGAACTGAGAAGTGGTCTGTGGTCACCACCTGCAAAACCAGTCCTTTATTGGGGATTTCACAGAAGTGTGATTGACTTGGAGTTACATTGTGTTGTTGAAGTGTTCCCTTTTTTTTTGAGCAGTGTATATATATATATATATATATATATACACTTTTTAAAATAGTTTTTATTTAGCACCCCTACTTCCCGCGGCTATGCTGTTAACCTTATGCCTAACCCTAACCTTAAATTAAGACCAAAAGCTGATTTTTGTTTTCATTAACTTTTACTATTTAGTCAATTTTAACTTTGCGGCTGTGGTAACTAGTGACAACCAATTACTATAGAGGGCAATAGTAATGGCTTTTGTAGGCACCAACTCCGCCATGGTTCGTTGGACAAAGCCTAAAGGCGTCAGCATGCTTCAGTTCGGCTGGTGTCTAGCTGAATTCGGAATCCGAACTAGTGTGCTCGCATACTCCCTTAAAACAGGGTTTCCCAAATTCGGTCCTTGGGTCCCCCCTGGGTGCACATTTTGGTTTTTGCCCTAGCACTACACAGCCAAATAGTGTCCCCCTCTGTGTCACAATGGGATTCGATAAACTATTAGCGTCCGTTGCTATATCAACGGTGTGATGACCTAATGATTAGAATTTTGGACATAATTACAGCCTAAATGACGTTATTTTCATCATCGCTACGCAAACAAGGCTGGATTTCGCGACTATTTCGCTGTTTAAATAAGTTTTGTTTAACTAATAAAATGAAAACATTACTTCAAACTACCTTTGGGTACCTTGTTAACGTTACAACATTAAATCCATGTCTTAAACGTTGCTACGTTTCGGAAATGGCAAAGAAAACGTGTAATCTGCTTTACACGTTAAAGTTACTACCTTACAGATCACGAAGTCAGCTAATTTCCACTCCATTCATATGCAAATCCATTTGAATCATACACTGGCTTGTCTGGCTGTCATGTTTTTATTTTAACCTGCCCTTCCTACACTGAAATAATATAATTTCAGTAGTCCTCTATTGATTCATTTTTTTCTATCTCACATTAGTACACCCTTGTGGTTGAATATATATGTATCTATTGTAGATCGTAGGATACAACAATGAATCATGTGGAACAAATAAATACCATCAAAGGATACCTTACAACTTACAATAATGAACAATAATGAAGGGGGACTTGAAGAGGGAGGCACTGCTGCTCTCTTTGTTCTGAGTGTTTGCAGTGCTAGTGTTTTTAGTTAATCTGTGTATCTCACATATTATGTGCCCAGTATGATAGAGCAAGAAAACGTTCTTATCAGATAATGACAAAATGACTATAACAGTAGCTGTAGATGATGTAATGAAAAGATGAAGGGTGGTTGGTAATGGAGGACATCAGGTGGATCCATGTCTGGGTGTTGGGCAGAACCCTTAGGTCCTGGAGAACAGGAGCAGAGTTAAAGGGAAAAGGATAGGAGACAGAGACGTAAACAAGCAAACACACATGTTCAACTTTACTGGGACAAAATGCGATGGATTAGGGCAGTGTTATAAATGGGAGATATGTACTTTTCAACACTTTTGGAAGGTATAGCATACCTCAAGCTGGTCCCCCTCCGACTCAGAGCACAGAGAATCAGACTGATCCAAACTCACTGGTTCTGGTGGATGGGATACCCTCTGCGGGGCTCGGACAGTCGATGGTCCCAAAGTCATTTAGAGAGGTAAATTGAAGAGGTACATTTTTATAAGCTCAGCATACAGTGGGAATTTTTTTTATTTAGTCAGCCACCAATTGTGCAAGTTCTCCCACTTAAAAAGATGAGAGAGGCCTGTAATTTTCATCATAGGTACAGGTCAACTATGACAGACAAAATGAGAAAAAAAAATCCAGAAAATCACATTGTAGGATTTTTTATGAATTTATTTGCAAATTATGGTGGAAAATAAGTATTTGGTCACCTACAAACAAGCAAGATTTCTGTCTCTCACAGACCTGTAACTTCTTCTTTAAGAGGCTCCTCTGTCCTCCACTCGTTACCTGTATTAATGGCACCTGTTTGAACTTGTTATCAGTATAAAAGACACCTGTCCACAACCTCAAACAGTCACACTCCAAACTCCACTATGGCCAAGACCAAATAGCTGTCAAAGGACACCAGAAACAAAATTGTAGACCTGTACCAGGCTGGAAAGACTGAATCTGCAATAGGTAAGCAGCTTGGTTTGAAGAAATCAACTGTGGGAGCAATTATTAGGAAATGTAAGACATACAAGACCACTGATAATCTCCCTCGATCTGGGGCTCCACGCAAGATCTCACCCCGTGGGGTCAAAATGATCACAAGAACGGTGAGCAAAAATCCCAGAACCACACGGGGGGACCTAGTGAATGACCTGCAGAGAGCTGGGACCAAAGTAACAAAGCCTACCATCAGTAACACACTACGCCGCCAGGGACTCAAATCCTGCAGTGCCAGACGTGTCCCCCTGCTTAAGCCAGTACATGTCCAGGCCCGTCTGAAGTTTGCTAGAGTGCATTTGGATGATCCAGAAGAGGATTGGGAGAATGTCATATGGTCAGATGAAACCAAAATAGAACTTTTTGGTAAAAACTCAACACGTCGTGTTTGGAGGACAAAGAATGCTGAGTTGCATCCAAAGAACACCATACCTACTGTGAAGCATGGGGGTGGAAACATCATGCTTTGGGGCTGTTTTTCTGCAAAGGGACCAGGACGACTGATCCGTGTAAAGGAAAGAATGAATGGGGCCATGTATCGTGAGATTTTGAGTGAAAACCTCCTTCCATCAGCAAGGGCATTGAAGATGAAACGTGGCTGGGTCTTTCAGCATGACAATGATCCCAAACACACCGCCCGGGCAATGAAGGAGTGGCTTCGTAAGAAGCATTTCAAGGTCCTGGAGTGGCCTAGCCAGTCTCCAGATCTCAACCCCATAGAAAATCTTTGGAGGGAGTTGAAAGTCCGTGTTGCCCAGCGACAGCCCCAAAACATCACTGCTCTAGAGGAGATCTGCATGGAGGAATGGGCCAAAATACCAGCAACAGTGTGTGAAAACCTTGTGAAGACTTACAGAAAACGTTTGACCTGTGTCATTGCCAACAAAGGGTATATAACAAAGTATTGAGAAACTTTTGCTATTGACCAAATACTTATTTTCCACCATAATTTGCAAATAAATTCATTAAAAATCCTACAATGTGATTTTCTGGAAAATAAATTCTCATTTTGTCTGTCATAGTTGACGTGTACCTATGATGAAAATTACAGGCCTCTCTCATCTTTTAAAGTGAGAGAACTTGCACAATTGGTGGCTGACTAAATACTTTTTTCCCCCACTGTATCACCCACTGTATTGAGAAGTGTGCAGAAGGGCATGAGACAAAGGAGTGTGAAGCAGTGGGGAAAGTGGTGGTATGTGCTAATTGTAGGGGTGGCCATGGGGCATGTCCAGTGCGAGAAAAGCAGGTTGAGGTGTCCAGGGTAAGAGTAGAGAAGAAATTGTCATATGCGGAGGCAGTGAAGAAAGTAGAGGAAGAGGGGTCAAGCGGGGGGAGTGGTGAGAGTAGGAGATATGTCCCAGTATAGTGGGATTTTCAAGCAAGTGATATATGTTTCAGTAAGATTTGATTTTTAGCGTTTATAGCAATGATTATTAATTGTACTGCAGGGATGGAACGTAAGTCGAAGAAAATTGAGGTTGTGGTGGCAGCTGCAGAGATATTTGGGTGTGCGAGACTTGACAGCAGAAGAGTTACAGGGAGTGTTAAGTGGTGATGTCCCATCATTTCAGGTTGAGGGCGTGAGGTAGGAGTGAGTATATTTAAATAGTGGAGAAGGGTGGGGTTAATTATTAGTAAGAGTTTTGAATTTGTGAGTGTAGTGTTAGATGGTAGGGTATTTCTTTGCTTTGTTTTATTTTTTTTTTCAAGGAAAAGAAAAGGGAGTTGTACTCCAGTCTAGTAGGTGGCGGTAATGCAACAAATTGGATGCCAACCGCCGTTAAACCTCATTATTGAAGAAGAAGCAGCAGCAGCAGCAGCTTCCGCTTCCGCTCATCATTTTGTAACACAAGCTCGGGACACAACACAAAGGTACGAAAACCTCTTTTGCAACAAAAACATTGGTGATTGTTGTTTTCATAGCTACATTAATAGATCATACAAACCGTAACAAAAACACTAAGATTCTTATGAGATTTGGAGCAGTTTTATGGATCAGAAGTCGATTGTCGTAGCCTGTTTAGCATGCTAACTAGCTACTGTAGGTCTCTTTCACAATCAAAGTGGAGGTCATAGTGGGACATATGCAGGTCCTGCTAGTGCAGTGTCGGGGAAGAATGTGTTCGGCTTTTAGCTAGATATATATTTGACGATTTCTCCTTATACACCTTTGAACATTAGGCCCGTGAAAAGTTACAATTTATTCAGTGCTATGCATTCTTATCAAGCCAACCCCTCTGATTAGCTAACGTTAGCTAGCTATGTATTGAGTTGACAATAACAACAGTATTCTTTCTTCAGTGGCTGCGAAAAATTGCTTGTTTGAGACGTTAGGCACGTTGCCTGGTACATAAGCAATAGGTACGCTTCCATGTCATGGATTTTATGATGGACATGGATGCCATTCATGTAACAGCGCCTAATGTTTTTGTGTTGTAATTGGGTCGTGTGACATTGCCATTGGGTTTTGTAATGTTGTTGCTCGAGCTTTTGTAATGGGGATGGAAGTGAAGCCTGTCTTGGATGTTGACCAACGGATTTAATTGTATTGTGGCTACATTTGAAATTATTTTTGAACTATCGACTTGTGTTCTTGACTGCATTCTGTATATCCTGTCCCTCAACCAGTCATCAGGATGCTGTCCTTGTCCCGGTGGGCTTTGGTGTGTGCAGCGGCTCGGGCCCAAGTTGCTGTCTGTCAAGGCAGAGTGACTGCCATCACACGATTCAACAGCACAACTGCTGAGGTATCCTTCCGCACAACCTGTGAAACAAAGTGCAAACTTGACAGTTGCAGACTTGGTAGCAAATATTCTGTATTGTATTTAGACGATTAGGCCTAAAGTTTTGCAATCTCTTTAGGCACCACCAAAGAAGACAACATTTGGACCCCTGGCTGACCAGGATAGAATTTTCACCAACCTGTATGGCCGACATGACTGGAGGTACCATCACAAGCTGTTCTCTATACACAATAACACTCTACACAATGTCAGAAATGCTGGCCTTTGGGGTATGAGAGCTTGGGCCAGCATTCTTCATCTGTTCAAGAATATAACATTGCATGCATATTACTTAATCATATAGTAATATGCTAATGTGATAGTATTCTTCGGAATTAGGTGTCATATTATCACTCTCTCCGTATGTCGTCCCAGGCTGAAGGGAGCTCAGAGTCGTGGTGACTGGTACAAGACCAAGGAGATCCTGCTGAAGGGAGTGGACTGGATCCTCAACGAGATCAAAGTCTCAGGGCTGCGGGGGAGAGGTGGAGCCGGGTTCCCCACCGGCATGAAGTGGGGCTTCATGAACAAGCCCAGTGATGGCAGGTCAGTGGTACTGCCTATGTTGCTCATTTGAAGCTCCGTGGTGACGTTTCCCCTAGGTACTGATCTAGGATCGGCTTCCCCTCCCCCAATCCTAACCTTAACCATTAGTAGGGAGAATGCTAAACTTACCCAAGATCAGAATCCAGGGGAAACTTTACCCTACACCCCCATTTGACTCTGTGCCAACTTTGACCTGAGAAAGGAATCTAAAACTCCTTTCCCCCCTTCATCTGCTCCTTAGACCAAAGTACCTGGTGGTGAATGCTGATGAAGGAGAGCCTGGCACCTGTAAGGACAGGGAGATCATGCGTAATGACCCCCACAAGCTGGTGGAGGGCTGCCTGGTGGCCGGGAGGGCCATGGGAGCCCGTGCTGCCTACATTTACATCAGGGGAGAGTTCTACAATGAGTCCTCCAACCTGCAGGTGAGAGCAGGGACTGCATGAAAAGGGAAAACAAGTTCATAACTACAAAGGTTTAGAAGTTGATCTCTGGACAGGCTGATATTCTTCTTAGATGTGGCACACTTTTTCACCTTTTTCCAATGTTCTTAGTAAATTCAACACATGTATGGTTCCTTTTAAGGTAATTGATTTTGAATGACATTCATTCACGTCTTCCTTGATCCTGGTTTTAACCTCAGGTGGCCATCAACGAGGCCTATGCAGCTGGTCTGATTGGGAAGAACTCCTGCGGCTCTGGCTACGACTTTGACGTGTTTGTGATGCGTGGGGCCGGTGCCTACATCTGTGGAGAGGAGACGGCACTCATAGAGTCCCTTGAGGGCAAGCAGGGGAAGCCCCGCCTGAAGCCCCCATTCCCTGCTGACGTGGGTGAGTTACTGAGGTGTAGATGGAGTCCTCCTCATGATGTAGTCATACCACAATATGGAATGAATCATGACATTTACATTTTTAGTCATTTAGCAGACGCGCTTACATGGCATGTTATTGATGATAATAGGTCAATTTAGAGGTTCAACAGAACACCTTCTACAGCAATACCAATAACATCCAAATATCCTTAGACTTTTCTTCTAAAAGTTTAATTCTAAACTTGTTGACCATTTTGTTCCCTCTAAGGTGTGTTTGGTTGCCCAACAACTGTCGCCAACGTGGAAACGGTAGCCGTGGCACCCACTATTTGTCGCCGTGGTGGCACGTGGTTCCTAGGCTTTGGCAGAGAGAGGAATTCAGGCACAAAGCTTTTCAACATCTCAGGCCATGTCAACACCCCCTGCACAGTGGAGGAGGAGATGTCTATTCCTCTCAAGGACCTCATTGAGCGACACGCAGGTACGTCCTTACAGTACACCACCGTGAGTATTTAAAACTGAGTTGCATCTCTCGTCCCAATGTAGACAAACCACCTCACCATTGTTACAACAGTTAGCAAACATGTCAGTTCCAAGATATCCAATATGTACTGTATGTTGTCTTAAATGAGTAAAAAAGCAATCCAGAGGATTAAGATTATCAGGTGGTTTTGTATCAAAGCCCTGAATCAGGTTGCCTAGTAAACACTAATGCCACTACAGACCTTTTTCAGTAGTAAGGCACAGTATATATCTCGTACTTGCTCATTGACACACTCGCAGCCTCAATTCAACTGACCAAAGTGAATCTCTCTCTCTCCCAGGTGGCGTGCGCGGTGGCTGGGACAATCTGTTGTGTGTGATCCCTGGAGGCTCTTCCACACCCCTCATCCCCCGTTCAGTGTGTGACACCGTGCTGATGGACTTTGACGGCCTGGTCCAGGCTCAGACTGGCCTCGGCACCGCCGCTCTCATCGTTATGGACAAATCTGTAAGCTCTCATCCACACAGTATGGGCTGGTTTCCCAGACACTGATCAAGCCTAGTCCTGGAATAAGAAGCACTTTCAATGGAAAATCTCAGTTGAAAAGGCTATTTAGTCCAGGACTAGGCTTAATCTGTGTCTGGGAAACCGGCCCTGTATGTACAAGTAACAGCATAACACTGAAGAGAAAGTGATTCTTATATCTAGGATAACCGAAATTAGATCTGACACATTGAGAGATGTACTCTGTCATTGCAGACGGACGTCATCAGAGCCATCGCCCGCTTGATTGAGTTCTACAAACACGAGAGCTGTGGCCAGTGCACCCCCTGCAGGGAGGGTAAGGAAGACTACTTACTTAACTATTTTGATCCAAACGTTGTGCCTTTAAAGACTTCTACAAGTCTGTTTGTCTCTCTCTTTTTACCATATTCCCATCTGTATCTTACTTATTCTCTCTCTCTCTCTGGCCTGTGTGAAGGAGTGGACTGGATGAACAAGATGATGTGGCGCTTTGTGAAGGGCGACGCGCGTGCGGCTGAGATCGACATGATCTGGGAAATCAGCAAGCAGATTGAGGGGCACACCATCTGTGCCCTGGGTGATGGAGCCGCGTGGCCCGTACAGGTAAATACGAGAGAGGAATATACATACATACATACAGTGCATTCGGAAAGTATTCAGACCACTTAACTTTTTCCACATTTTATTTTACAGCCTTATTCTAAAATTGATTAAATAGTTTTTTTCCCCCCTCAATCTACACACAATACCCCATAATGACAAAGCAATAACAGGTTTAGAATTTTTTTGCAAAAAACAACTCACATTTACATCAGTATTCAGACCCTTTACTCAGTACTTTGTTGAAGCACCTTTGGCAGCGACTACAGCCTTGAGTCTTCTTGGGTATGACACTACAAGCTTAGCACACCTGTATTTGGGGAGTTTTTCCCATTCTTCTCTGCATATCATCTCAAGCTCTGTCATGTTGGATGGGGAGCATCACTGCACAGCTATTTTCAGGTCTCTCCAGAGATGTTCGATCGGGTTCAAGTCCGGGCTCTGGCTTGGCCACTCAAGGACATTCAAAGACTTGTCCCGAAGCCACTCCTGCGTTGTCTCGGCTATGTGCTTAGGCTCGTTGTCCTGTTGGAAGGTGAAGCTTTGCCCCAGTCTGAGGTCCTGAGCAGGTTTTCATCAAGGATCTCTCTGTACCATGCTCCGTTCATCTTTTCCTCGATCTTGACTAGTCTCCCAGTCCCTGCCGCTGAAAAACATCCCCACAGCATGATGCTGCCACCACCATGCTTCACCGTAGGGATGGTGTCACGTTTCCTCCAGATGTGACGCTTGGCATACAGGCCAAAGAGTTCAATCTTGGTTTCATCAGACCAGAGAATCTTGTTTCTCATGGTTTGAGTCCTTTAGGTGCCTTTTGGGAAACTCCAAGCAGGCTGTGATGTGCCTTTTACTGAGGAGTGGCTTCCGTCTGGCCACTGTACCATAAAGGCCTGATTGGTGGAGTGCTGCAGAGATGGTTGTCCTTCTGGAAGGTTCTCCCATCTCCACAGAGGAACTCTGTCAGAGTGACCATCGGGTTCTTGGTCACCTCCCTGACCAAGGCCCTTCTCCCCCGATTGCTCAGTTTGGCCAGGCGGCCAGCTCTAGGAAGAGTCTTGGTGGTTCCAAACTTCTTCCATTTAAGAATGATGGAGGCCATAGTGTTCTTGGGGACCTTCAATGCTGCAGACATTTTTTGGTACCCTTCCACAGATCTGTGCCTCGACACAATCCTGTCTCGGAGCTCTATGGACAATTCCTTCAACCTCATGGCTTGGTTTTTGCTCTGACATGCGCTGTCAACTGTGAGACCTTATACAGACGTGTGTGCCTTTCCAAATAATGTCCAATCAATTGAATTTACCACAGATGGACTCCAATCAAGTTGTAGAAACATCTCAAGGATGATCAATGGAAACAGGATGCACCTGAGCTCAATTTCGAGTCTCATAGCAAAGGGTCTGAATACTTATGTAAATAAGGTATGTTTTTTATCAATGTGCAAACATTTCTAAACCTGTTTTCACTTTGTCAATATGGGGTAGTGTGTGTAGATTTGATGAGGGAAAAAAATGAATTTAATCAATTTTAGAATAAGGCTGTAATATAACAAAATGTTGAAAAGGTCAAGGGATCTGAATAATTTCTGAATACACTGTATATACACTCACTGAGGCTCAACTTATGCCTGATTCACACTATAGTGCCAAGCTGAGCTATACTGGTCTGGCCTGGTTACACATCTATGCCTCAGTGAAAATATCCAAGCCAGTATGGTTTGGGTCAGCCCTATAGAGTGAATTATGCATTAGTGTGTGTTGTTGGTTAGTAATACAGGTTTCTATGGACTGGTCCTGCATCTGTCCAGAGAGACTATTTAAAGACTGTATTTGGTAGTAGTGTAGTTGGCTGACTGGCCCTTTTCTTAACTCACTCTCTCCTACTCTTCTTTCTCTGTAGGGATTGATCAGACACTTCAGGCCTATCATGGAGACCCGAATTGCAGAGTTCCAGCAGAAGGACCAGGCCAGGGCTTAAATCACTCCTTCGTCCCCTCCCTCCATCCTTCATTCACAAATTGTTATTTAAACAAGAATGTGTTGCTTCTCATTCATTGTGAATAATTGCCTTCCTGTTTTTGCCTTTGTCTGAAGTCGCCAATAAAGCTGTATGAAACCTAAAATAGTTAAACAATTTAAACAGTTGTACTGTATATATGTATTGTTCATTTAAGACTTACAAAATTGAATCTTGGAATTGCTACTTGTTTCTTAATTTTGATGAATCAGTGTTTGATTCTCCTGTCGTGTAACAGAAGGAATATTGTCGTGGCGCATGGTACACGAAATTGCAGCTGTCGATGATGCTATACAAATGAACTATGAATTAGTATCCGGCAGTTGCCTTATGAGGTCATTTAACTTTCTCACAGCAGATATAGATTAATCCAGTCCACCATGTCAGAGTGAAACGGACCAAGAACAGTCTAGCATGTGATCTGACTACTCCCTTCTTAGTAGCCGCTGCCATGGCATCAGTCAACAAGTTCAACTTGAGAGTGGAGCATGCGTTATATAGAAATACCCCCTCAAATTGTACCCATAGTACAGAATGACTTAAATGGGTGGACAGCTCCAGATCTGAATGGCAGGAGTGTATAACTTTTTTCCCCCCTGCCCATCCCATACCTGATTACAAATCATAGCCTATCGCTGTGATTCGGTATGTTGATTATTGAAGTAAGCTGTTAGAGCTGGGCTGGGACAAAACCCTTTACACACGCCTGCTCTTCAGGACTTCCTGCAATGACTGAAACAGACCAAAGCAGGAGAATTGTGTTTCAGGTTGAAACAGCTTACCTAGTTGAGAGGTTCTGGAACAGATAAGGCGCAAATAAGGTTTGCAATTTGGCATCAATAACATGACAGTAATTCTACCTCAAAAAACAAACGTGTGAATACCAATTAATTTAAAACCCCCATAGCAGGTAGGACTAAATAAGGTTACATAACCTAGCTGAGCTAGCCAGTTAGATAACAGGCATTTTCAATTTAAAACGTGCCCAAGACAGTTCACAGAATTGTCCATTGAAACAACTTTAGCCAATTTATTAATTCATTACTAAATTTAACTAGCATTAGCTAGTTAATCCAGATATTCTTACCTTTGCCTCGATCCGGCAGTCTCATCCAGATCATCATGGATGGCCATGGTGAGTGACGTGATGCTTGAGACAGAAATGTGTAGTTCTGTATGATAACCACATTAGCTACTTAAAAAACCCACTACCCCATTCCACTACTTTGACCCTATCTGCTCCTGCACCATGCCAACGGCCTGGGAGGACGGGACACCACCATTCAACACACCCTGTAACTCTTCTGAAGTCAAATCTCATATACCCAAATACTTTTCTGCAGCTGCCACCACAACATCTATCCTCTACGATTTATGTTCCATTCCTGCGGTACAATTGACATGAACGCCAAAAAACTAAACCTTACTGAAGCACATGTTATTCCGATCACTCTCTATTGACCTCAGCCTACTCACAGGGATCCTCTTAGGATCCCTCAACCTGGACCCATCTTCCTCTACTACTCTCTTCACTGCCTCAGCATACGACACCTTCTGCACCACTCTGATCATGGCAACCTCAACCTGCCTTTCTCTCACCAGCCACCTCTGATCTCCAGCACCATGGATACCCCTATACAGTTTACAGACAACTTTTCCCACCGATACTACACATTCCTTTGTCTCATGTCCTCCTGCACACTTCTCACATCTAGATATCTCCCTCCTACACACTGCTGCCACTTGAGCATAAGCTTGACACCTAAAATACCGTAATGGGTTCGGGACAAAAGCTCTCACGGGATAACTGACACATCCTAATGTAACAGTACTCATCTTGCGTTGTGTTGTGAACAATCATCGTCAAGGACTCCAGCAGGTAGCACCAGTCAGGGATATATTATCTGATAGAGAAACAGCATGGATAGCACGTCATGCAATGCAGCCACCACAAATATTCACAAAGGAAAACCACATCTCATGTACAATATTCCAGCAATGTTTACAAACAAATTGATATAACTTGTACATTTCGATCTGCACTAAATGTGTATTTTTCCATATATTGACACATCCTATGTGTTTTAATCAAATCAACTATATTCACTGAGCTTGTCTGATGCTTTAAGCACACTGTTTTATTAAATAATTATGACACACAAATGGCTAGAGGGAGTCCGACCAGCAATTGATTTGATTGTGCCGGGCTGGGCTCCGACTTGCTGTGCTGTGTTAAAAGAAAAGCCAGTGGCTGTGTGCCTAGCACCAGTTGTCTTGCTCTCCTCCCTGCTGCAGCGATCTCCACAGAACACAAAAGTGTTTATCGCGCTGTCCGTGTTGCTGAAGCTGCAACATAATTACAGCAATTTCTGACTGAAAAGTTATGTTTCAGAAATCCCTCATTTGTTTAGGAAAAACATTCCCTATTTCCTCAACCCTTGCTCTCTTTACGTGACACATGTATGCATCGCATTCACGTGACCAAAGACCTATTAGCACGGGACTAGTATTACTAGAGAACGTTGGTTATGTAATTATTACTCCAGAATGTCTGTTATTTCACAGGACGATTCGGACGGGATTAGTTTTTCTCCAAATTGCCCCCTGTAATTCATATTTTTGCTCAATAAATTAACAGTTATGACGGAAGCCTGGAGGTTTTTATTCTAGTCGTGAAGATACAGTATTTCAACATGTCCAGGTGGTAGGGCCACACTGATAACCAAGTTTCTAAACCATACCAAACCATCTTTGGTATAGTGTCGCCATAATATTTCAATTGAGGAAGTGTGATCATAATCATTAGGATATTTTAGCGATCCCCGGTACGACCTAAATGACCCCCAGCCTTCAGATGTGAGCTAAACAGTGCAATTGAGATGTGTTTTAAGGCTATGGATGAGAATGTTAACTTATCATCTTTTAGGTCAGTTGTATGCTGCTCTGCGATCTATTAACAGCAAGGGTTGCATTAAATTGGCTCAATATTTTTTTCTGATGCATTTGTCAATATTCAATATAAACGCACAAAACATATAAACAAAAGCATTCACTGTGAAAGTTGATAGGCTACATGTAGGCCACATTCTCTCAAAACACAGGGATGTCGATTCGCACGGGACTAGTATTATCAGAGGACCTTGGAGTTTGCCAAAAAAACAGTAGGTTATTCTGGCTGGAATTATTACTCTCCTGCCATGTACAAATTACTGCCATGGCAGATTCGGATGGGACTAAAATGACAGATGTGGTGTTTTGTGCTCGTGCACATAATGACATTACCCGACCTCCCCCAGTAAAATGAATCCCGTCCAAATAAGGCATTATAGGGCCTGACCTATAGCATGTCATAATCACATCAATAAATTGGATATAACAAACACTGAACACCGTAACACGTGATAGAAAAATGGATGCAGAGGACGTGACAAATAAACTCGAAATGGGGGAATGTTTACTGGTTGCTCAGGAGGTAAAGGGGAAGTCAGATGTGTGGAATAAATGTGACTAGTTGTGGAAAATAATGGAGATTAAGAAAAAGAAGGTAAGGTGGAAGCGCTGCGTGCATATTATGTGTGCCAAACAGGTGCTGTATAGATTACAATATAATTTTCCTAACCATTTGGAACGCGCTGCTTACTCATCAGTCGGACTGCTCTGATGGCATCACAGCCTGTGGAAGCTGTGGCAACAGTAGTGCACGGGAACTCACCTCCCCCACACAGTGCCTGTGTGGGTAAAGAACAGCAGCAACTTCCTGTCTTGATAAAGCACCAGATGGGGTGTCAACAGCAGACTGGCAGTTAATGACTACCTCGTTGGTGTTAAGACGCTTTGTCAAAGGGATGGGTGGACCAGCGAAACACATCTTGCACTCGGTCTGTGCGCACAGCATTATCTTCGGTTAGTAGCGTCTTGTACGGAACCCTCATCAGGAGGTGGAGTGCACTGGGTCGTATGAAGGGCTCTCGGCTCAGGGCATCTGCAACAAAATTTTTGGGACCAGGGATGTACTTGATGTCAAACTCTTACGGTGCCAGCTTGGCAACCCATCTCGAATCACAAGCATTGAGCTTCATTTTTGTCAGGATGTATGTCAAGGGATTGTTACCTGTCCATGCGGTGAACTGCTGACTCTGTAGCCAAATGGTGGAACTTGGTCGCAGATAGCCCATTTCATGGCAAAGAACTCAGGCCTGTGTGCAGGATACCTTGACTGCGCATAACTGAGTTACTTGCTCGCGAAGGCTATTGGTCTCACTGTAGTTCCCCCTTTTTGTACCTGGGATAGCACAGCACCTAGGCCATTGCTGGATGCATCCACAGAGAGTAGGAAGGGTTTGTCAAAGTTGGGGTGGGCCAACAAGACCTTGTCCAGCAAGGCTTGCTTTAGCTGGAGGAAGGCCTGCTTGCACACTGTTGTCCAGTCAACTGCTGTCAACTTCCTGACAGGTGAGCGTCGCTTCTTCATCTTGCAGCGTAGAGCCTTGTGCCCAGTTGTCAACCCAATGAGAGGCTTTGCGATGGTCGAGCAGCCTTCAATGAACTGTTGGAAATACACCACCATCCCGAGGAATGACCTCAGTTTCTTCTGAGAGGGAATGTCAGTTCCGTCTTCCATCATGCCTGCAATGGCCTTTCTCAGGATCTGTAGCTACGACCATCCGCACTGATGATATGCCCCAAGAACATCACAGACCTCTGCAAAAAGTGCCACTTTTTCGGGGCCAGCTTCAGGTTGCGTGCCTTGAGATGTTCAAAGATAATTTCCAGTTGCTGCAGAGCCAGATCTTCAGTGCGCGCATAGACTAAGACATCATCAAGGTAACACAGCAGACTACGAAAGTTCTGATCCCCGAAGATGTTTAGCATCATCCTCATGAATGTTGCAGGACTGTTACATAACCCGTGTGGCATACAGTTGTATTCATACAATCCAAATTGCAATGTAAAGGCTGTGAATCTCTGGTCATCCTCATGCATCTCCACATTGTAGTAGCCAGAGGTAAGGTCCATCGTCACGAAAAAGGCATTTCCACCTATAGCAGTCAGCGCGTCAGCCTAGTGAGGGAGTGGGTGAGCGTCTTTGATGGTGCGAGCATTGAGCCAACGAAAGTCAGAACAG